AGAGAGAAAGGGAAAATGAAAGTGAGTGAAAGGGAAAGTGAGAAATCACCCCTCAGGGAGGATGGCCATACTGCCATCCCTTTCTCCATTCTCCTCCTAGGAATTTTGGGCATATGCACACACACACATGCCCAGAGTGATTTTCAAGCTGCCAGGTCTAGGACTTGAACCATGGGTGACCATGTAAGAGCCCAGCACCTTAACCACTACGCCACCTGCTGGCCCCAGGTGAGGACTTTTATAATTAATATAAATTTGGAGCCCACCTCTAACAATGTGCAGGCCTTGATGATGCCCAGTTTGATAGCATACTTACCCTGGCTTTGTCTTGGTTTTATTTGCATTTTGCACAAATTGCCCCATTAATTCCTGAAGGAGGCTGTGCTATACAGAACTCTAAAAGCTGCTACCAATAATTTTTTAAGAGAAGTTGAGTGTAATGAAAAGAAAGCAATAGACTCTCTGGAGTCTGTTATCTCTAATCCCACCCCAGTGTGCTGACACTTTAAAGAGTGGAAAACAGAAGATAAGCTATCTTCCTCCTGCAGCTTGTCAGTCGGCATTCATCCATCCACCCCTACTTCACCACTCCCTAGGAAGTAGTTGTTGCCATTTTTAGCAAAATAATTTATTAGCCAGTTTTTCAGATCGAAATCAAGTCAGTTTTACCTGCATGTGGACACACAGCCCACGCTTATTAAGTGATCAGAAACCCAATCCCTCTCAGCCACATGAGTTAGATACGGACCTCCCTTAGCTCTTCTTGGGTATATACGCTGCGATTTTCTCCCGGGCATTTTCCTTATAAATGGTGTATATGTAATATAAAACCCACACTTTCTTCGCATTAGTTGTTTATCTTCTGAAAAGGAGAGTTTTAGAAATAAAACGTGAAATTAAATGTGAACACATTATTGGGATAAATACCTAAGCATTATACCCAGCACTATATTAAGTATAATGGCCACCCTCTTCCCCAGCCCAGCTGCCTCCCTGAGTTTGCCACTGTTACCGGTTTGATGCATTTCCTTCTAGACTCCTGGGGATGCTTTTGCAAATATGGATGTATATCTGCAGCAATATATTGGTTTTTAATCATGTGAGTCTGAGAATGAAGGCATGCTGTATATGATGTGCTGTTCTATAGCATGCTTTTTTGTTTTAAAGAATTATTCAATTTTGAGACCAGCAGATGGCATGGCAGTTACATCGCTGGACTTCCACATGGCCAACCACGGTTCAAGTCCCAGGTCCGGTGGCTTCAAAATCACACTGGGCATGTGTGCATGCCTGCCCAAGATCCAGGGAGGAGAATGAAGAAGGGATTGTAGCATGGCTATCCCCTTTTAGGAAGTGATTTCTCACTTTCCCGCTCACTGTCTCTATATCTCTTAGGTGGGTGCACATGCCCTAAGGCAGAGACCTCTTTAAAAAATTACTCAACTTTATCATTTTTTTAATTTGACATATGGTATATGCACTCACTAGAGACAGAGAGAAAGGGAGGGAAAGAAAATAAAAAAGTAAGCCTCCAGGTCTAGGAGTCAAACCACAGTTAGCCATGTGGTAGTCCAGCAACCATTATGCCACCTGCTGGCCCCCACTTTTCTTTCTTTTTCTTTTTTTTTTTTTTTTGGAGAGGTTTTTGCTATAGGTGTGTGCTCACCAGAAAGACAGAGAGAGACAGAGAGAGAAAAAGCAAGAAATCACCACCCCCCAGGGGGGATGGCCATGCCTCGATCCTTTCTCCTCCATTCTCCTCTCGGGATCTTGGGCACACATGCACACACGCCTGGCGTGAGTTTAAGCCACCAGGTCCGGGACTCAAACTGTGGACGACTACATGGGAGTCCAGCGACAAAGCCATTACACTAACTGCTGGTCCCACCCCCACTTTTTTTTTTTTTTTAATGCCAAAAAGCACATGTGAGTACGAGAAAGAGAGAGAGGAGAAAGAGCGCCTCTCATGGGGTCTGGTCATGCTGCAATCCTCCTTCCCCGTGAGATTCTGGGCAGGCATGTGCACCTACCCAGCATGTTTTTCAAGCCACCTGGGATCAGGATTTGAACTGTAGTCAGCCATGTGGGATCCAGTCCTCTCCATGCTGTACTTAACCACTGCACTGGAATATTATTACATCGCACTACGAGGCTGGCCCTATAACTTGTTTTGACTTAACAATATGTCTTAGAGATGCCAGCAGATGGTGTCGTGGCACTGGACTCCCACATGGCCCACTGTAGTTGGAGTCCCAGATCTGGTGACTTGAAACATGCCAGACACATGTGCCTGCATGCCTAAAATCCCAGGAGGAGCAGGCATTGCAGCGTGGTCATCCCTCCTAACAGGTGATTTCTCACTTTCCTTCTGTCTCTCTCCAGGAGAACACACACACGCTCTACGCAAAAACTTAAAAATAAAAATGTCCTAGAAAAATTTTTCTGCTCTAAGGAAAATGTTATTTTCTATATTATCTTATTCAAACAGCATCTTCTGGACACTAGTCCTTTCATCTTTATTTTTCAGTTAAGGGCACTTGAAAAAAGCCCAAGTTGCACATCATAAAAGAACTTGGAAAATCTGATTACACAACCATGACTACCTCATAAGGTTGCTGTGCTGAAATATGGTGTTACTATGAGTAACTATTAATAGCTTTGGTCTGAAGTTCATTTTTCTTCCCCTCCCCCCCCCTTTTTGAGAGGTTTTTGCTATAGGGGTGTGCACTCGTCAGAGAGACAGAGGGAGACAGAGAGATAGAAAGTGAGAAATCACCCCCCAGGGGGGATGGCCATGCCGCAATCCCGTCTCCTCCATTCTCCTCTTGGGATCTTGGGCACGCATGCACATGTGCCTGGCTTGAGTTTAAGCCACCAAGTCCGGGACCTGAACCACGTTCTACCACATGGGAGTCCAGTGACATAGCCATTACACCATCTGCTGATAACCCCCCTTTTTTTTCTAAACAATTATTTTAAATAACAGCATTTATTTATTTATTTAAATTTGACCAGAGAGGGACAGAGTCAGAGGGAGAGGAAAAATGAGAAAGCAAGGCTCCAGGTCCGGGACACGAACTGCGGCCAGCCATGTGGGAGTCTGGCACCCTTAACCACCACACCACTTGCCGGCCCTTGAAGTTCATTTTTCTAACAACTATTTACTGGCTGTTCCCAGGCCCTGAGGATATATCTGTGAGCCAAAAAGACAATCTCTACCTCCCTGGCATTCAACATTATCCTCAGGAGAGACAGACAATAAAATAAGTATAAGAAATAGCATGTTGGTTACTGATAAGTGCTTAAAGGAAAACTTAGGGAGAAAATAAAATGAATGGTTTCCAAGAAGAGTACTGATATTGCCCTTTTATTTTTATTATACTTACTTCTTCTACGAACAATAGACAGACAGATAGACAGGCAGAAACAGAAGGCAGCACCCCCCAAAAGGGTCTTGACACCACGATCCATCCCCAACCTCAGCCAGCCCAGATCACAGCAAACTCATATCCAACTCAGGGAGGTCTCCAGGGATGAACTCAGAACCTTTCCATGTGGGCCAGCCTTGCAGAAATGTTGTGAGGGACCAGCAGTTAGCGTAATGGCTATGTCGCTGGACTCCCACGTAGTCGACCGCGGTTCGGCTCCCGGCCCCAGTGGCTTAAACTCACACCGGGAGCGTGTGTGCGCGTGCCCAAGATCCCGAGAGGAGAATGGAGAAGAAGGGATTACAGCGTGGCCATCCCCCCTGGGGGGTGATTTCTCGCTTTCTGTCTCTCTGTCTCTCTCTGTCTGGTGAGCGCACGTGCCCTATAGCAAAAAAAAAAAAAAAAAATCCTCTCCAGAAATGTTGTGATTTTACTGCTACACCATCATCTGGCCTCAGGGGATTGCAATTTGTTTTTAATTTTCTGATTTTTTTTTTTTACATTGAATCACTGTACATTTCCATGGCATACAAAACGAATCTTTTTTTTAAAAAAAAAAAAAGTTATTTCTTTAATTTTATTATTACTATTTCTTAATTTGGCGAGAGACAGAGAGATAGAAAGAGACAGGGAAAGTGAGAAAGCAAGTACCATGTCCGGGACTCGAACCATATTTGGCCATGTGGGAGTTCAGCACTTAACTACCGTGCCACCTGCTGACTCCTAGAAATAAATCTTCCCAGCAAAAATATACTGCATATAAGTCCAGTCCATACACATCATCATCACAAATAATTTTTCCATTTTTGTGTCCATTAAATGTTTTATTTCCTTCCTCCACCCCTGATTCCTTCCCTCCTACCCCAAGGAAGGCAATTTTTAAAACAGATTTTTGCTATAGGGTGAGTACCCTTATTGGAGAGACAGAGAGAGAGAGAGAGAGAGAGAGAGGAAGTGAGAAATCACCCCCCTCCAGGAAGGATGGTCATGCCACAACCCCTTGTCCTCCATTTTGCTCTTGGGATTTTGGGTACACACAAACACACACACACACACACACACACACGTGTCTCAGGGTTAGTTTTGAGCCTCTGGGTTCAGGACTCGAACCACAGTGGATCATGTGGGAGTTCAGTGCCTTATCCACTATGCCACCTGCTTGCCCTGGGAATGCAGTTTTAAACCTAGTGATCATGGACGGCCTATGGAAAAGGAGACAGTTTGAGCCAAATCTCTGCTTTTTATTTCTTTTCTTTTTTTAGATGTAAGTTCTCCACAATTTACTTTATAAATTTTATACAAACCCAATTAAAATAGCAACAAGATGTTTTAAACTGAAAAAACTTTATAATCCACAAATGAAAGCAACAATACAGCACTTTCATATGCCACATGAGTACCTTTTTAGAGAGGAACTTGACACTAACGATTTCTTTTTTAATATTTAATCACTATACATATTTAGTGTCTCTTCAGTTAGTTAGCAGCTTCTTTTTCAGAGGGAGGGAAAGGAGTTAAGCAGGTGTTTCCGGCAATTGCTTTCTCCATTCAGCACTCCCACAATCGGCTCACCTTTCACTGCTGAGCACTTTCCTCCTCATAGGTCAGGATGATCTCACCTGTCAGAGCACACTGCACGCCAGACCCCGACTTGATGGTCTTCCCTTCCTGGCTTCTTTTATTAGTCACATGTGCTTGTTTGTGTTTTCTTCTTTAAATTTTCCTATAGGGCATGGGCGCTCACTGAGGAGAGAGAAAGAGAGAGTAAGAAAGCACTCCCTGAGGAGATGGTCATGTCATAATCCCTTTTCCATTCTCCTCTTGAGATTTTAGGCAGGCACACACAGGAACCTAGTGTGTTTTTCAAGTCTTTGCATCTGGGACTCGAACCACGTAGTAAGCCATATGGGATCCAGCTGCCTTAACAACCACACCACTGGTCAGCCCAGTCACATACACGTTTAAAAGGTGTATATGACTACTATTTGAAAAATCCTTTTTATTAGAATTATTCAAGACACAGATTCTCAGCTGTGGCTGCATATTGGCATTAGCCTGGGACCCACCCTCAGAAGTCATTCTGGTGATCTAGAATGTGGCCTAAGTATTGGGATTTTTTACTTAAAATTTTTAAAGGATTTTGCCATAGAGTGAATGCACTTGTTGGAGAAAGAGAGAGGGGAGAGAGGGAGAGACAGTGAGAGACGAAGTGAGAAATTCTGCCCCTCTCGGGGAGATGGATATCCTGCAATCCCTCCTCCTGGGATTTTGGGCATGCACGTACACACACACACACACACACACACACACACACACACGTGTGCTTCCCATGTGATTGTCAAGCCACATTTAGGATTCAAATCACGGTTGGCTACATGGAAGTCCAACGCCTTAACTACCATACCACCTGCTGGCCCGGTATCAGGATTTTTTAAAGTTCCCTAGGTGATTCTGCCTCTTTTTTTTTTTTTTCTTTAAAGAATTCATTTAATTTTATTTATTATTATTATTATTCAATTCAACCAGAGAAAGAGAGAGAGAGAGAAAGCCATTCAGTCTGGGTCTCAAACCACAGTTGGCCATGTGGGAGTCCAGCATCTTAACTACCACACAACTCACCTCTAGGTAAGTCCAATGTACAGCCAGACATGAGCACCTCTGTCTTACAGGCCACTGGCTAAGGTGATAATGTATTCAATTAGTGACCACAGGTTTACAGCTACTACGAATATCTCCCTCCCTCCCACCCCCAGTGTTAAAATTTTGTTGTATTTTGAACATATTAAGAAAAAACAATACCTTCGTGGTGTTGAAAGGTGGGGCCTTTAGGGAGAGTAGGAAAAAGGTCATGATTGAGTTCTGGTGGGTTTACAGGAAAGGGAATGAGACCAGAATGGACAGACTCGTGGACAGCCATTGTGCTCTGCTCTTGCCCTCATGCGATGCGTCAGGACTCTGTGAGAGACCCACCAAACACGGCCTAGAACTGGAACCTCATGAACTGCATAAACCTCTATTCTTTTTAAATGACTCAGACTCAGGTATTTTCTGTTAAAATAAAACAGACTAAAACACCAATTGGCCAACAGTCGGCCAGAAACCAGGACTGAGATATCCTATAATTAGTCAGTTGCTGCCACTAGAGTTAACTATTACAGAGTTATTAACTACAGAGGTAATTATTACTGGCGCATAACTTGTGCACTTTCCCAAAGTGCTAATAACATAATCTTTTTAAAAAATACGTGTTGTCCCTAAAAAGACACTGGAATACTGCACTGGCAATGACTAACGTGGGAAGGGCTTGGCTGAACTGTCAGCTCGCTCACAATTTTTTGGGCTAGCCCCGTACCGCTGTGCATAGTAAACCAGATTCCACATGGCCGACCCCATCGTCCATGTGTCCTAGTCTCAGTGACTTGAAAACGCAGCAGGTGCATGTACATACCTGCCCATAATCCTGACAGGATGAAGAAATGTAGGAAAAGAATTCTGGCATGACCAGACACCATAGGGAGGAATTCTCTCTCTCTCTCTCTGGCAAGCACACACCCCCTCTGGCAATTTGTTAAAAACAAAACAAATAAACTTCTAATAAAAATAGAAAGGAGGGCCAGCAGATGGCATGGTGGTTAAGGCATTAGATTCCATATGGCTGACCATAGTTTGAGTCCAAGACCTGGCGGCTTGAAAGTCACACCAGGTGCATGTATATACCTACCCAAAACCCAAAGAGAACAGAGAAGAAATAGTGATGTGGCCATCCTCCCTGGAGGTAATTTCTCTCTTTCTCTCTCTGTCTCTCTCTGTCTCTCTCTGCACACACCATATGGCAAAAATCTTTAAAAAAAAAAAGGAGGTAGAAGAAATCCAAACCTCATACATCTTTTTCCATTACAAAATTGTTGTAAAAGATCCCAACCAAGCAAACAGAAAAATAATGTAACTATATTTTCATGGAATCAAATGTATTCAATTTAGAGGAGTACCAATTACTTGGAAATGACATCCTTTTATTAATGAAATGGCAATGGAAGACCACAGCTGAACTACTTGTATAGTTTATGGGCTTTGTTAGTAAAACTAAAATTGACTAACTTATATCAGGACTCAGATTTCTTTCTTTTTTTTTCCCTGGAGATTTTTGCTATAGGCATGTGCACTTGCTAGAGAAACAGAGATGGAAAGCAAGAAATAAACCCCCAGGGGAGATGAACACACCAAAATCACTTCTACTCTTGAGATTTTGGGCATGCAGGCAAATGCCAGTGAGTTTTAAGCCACCCAGACCAGGACTCAAACCACAATCAACTATGTGGGAGTCCAGTAATGTAACCATTACACCACCTGCTGGTCCTTCAGGACTCAAATTTTTTTCTTTTTTTATTTTTTAAAGGGAGATTTTTGCTATTGGACAGGTGTGCTCATGGAACAGACAGAGAAAGAGAAAGTGAGAAACCACTCCGCAGGGCGGAATGGCCATACTGCAATCCCTTGGGAATCCAGTGACATAACCATTACATTATCTTCTGGTTCCTGTATTTCTTCTTAACCAAACCGCATTTTGAGTAACTTCACTTCCTTCTCCATGACAGCTAGTCAGCTAAGAAAGTCTCATCATAAATTAATGGTATTCTGGCTTGTGAATCAATCTCTTATGAGTTCAGTAAACATAAAGCAGTTTCTTTTACCTGACCTCTAGTGGGCAAAGTGATCACCTCCAAGCTGAGAAGCAGCTGCTATGTACTGTGGTTACAGCGGGGACTACCAGCTGCCTGTATTCTTAATAACAAAATCCTGGCATTTCTTTAGGGTGGCATTGAACCACAGACGCCAAGTTAGAGGACCAGTCTGCTGCCTTCCTTGCAATAATACACACCTCCAACTAACTGTTCCCAGAAGAGTTCCTTTTAAGGGAGAAACACAGCTGGAATGCATCCATTTGTTCCTCCCTTCTCCTCACAGCCTGCAAGATGAATGTGTTGTCTGGAGTTTCCTCATCTGTTGCACATCATATGGATGGTAGAGAAGGAAAAAAAGAGCCTGGGTCCCTGATGCCCATGGAGCCATCATATCAGTCTGGATGACATAGCCAAGTCTCACTCATTCATTCATTTATGCTATAGGGTGCGCATGCTCATCCAAGAGATGGAAAGAGGGAATGTGAGAAATTACACACACATGGGTACTAGCAGGTGGCGTGGTGGTTGGGGCACTGGATACTCCCATGAGGTTAATCGCAGTTTGAGTCCTGGACTTGGTGGCTTGCTTGTTCTCTCTCTCGTCAAATTAAAATGAATAAATAAAATTAAATAATTAAATAAATAATTCTTAAAAGAAAAAAAAAGATCTCATTAGGGCTGACCAGAATTCGAGCCCTGGTCGGAGGAAAAAAAAAAAGAGAAATTTTACACACACACACTCATGCATGCACACACGGTCCTGTGCTGCAATTTCTTCTCCGACCTCCTCTCAGGATTTTGGGTTTGCATGCGTAGGCGCCTTGTGTTATTCAAGCCACCTGCTCCTGGACTCTAACAAATGAAGAGTCCGCCCTGTAGGATCCAACGCCACCTGCTGGCCTCCTAGTGCATGACGTACTTACTAAATCCCAAATACCTCCAAAAACACAGTTGATAGTTTCAGAGGTTTTTGGGGTTTTTTTGAGAGGTTTTCGCTATAGGGCATGTGTGCTCGCCAGACAGAGAGAGACAAAGTGAGAAATCACCCCCCAGGGGGGATGGCCACGCTGCAATCCCTTCTCTGCCATTCTCCTCTCGGGATCTTGGGCACGCACGCACATGCACTCAGTGTGAGTTTAAGCCACCGGGTCCCGGACACGAACCGCGGTCGACTACGTGGGAGTCCAGCGACATAGCCCTTATGCTAACTGCTGGTTCCCGATAGTTTCAGAGTTTTGAAAAGTAGTGAAATTTGGGGGGAATTATGGGTTTAAATTCAATCAGGATTTACTGATTACCTATTTAGGACGCTAGGCATTCTCTTGTTCCATTGTTTAACTAACAAAAACTCCATTTTATACTTAGGCTTAGGGAGGTTGACTCTCCCAAAGTCATAGGACTAAGAACAGATAAAGTCAAAATTCCAACCAGGAATTTTGGAATGCCTTGACTCTAACTTCAGTACTCCTTTCACCATGGTTATAATTTCATTATTTTATTTAACTTTATTATTTTAGTATTTCCAGAGAGAGAGAAAGCCTCTAGGTCTAGGACTTGAACTATGGTTGGCCATGTGGGAGTCCAACACTTTTTTTTTTTTTTGTAGAGGTTTTTGGTATAAGGCGGGTGTGCTCACCAGAAAGACACGGAGAGACAGAAGATGAGAAATTACCCCCCAGGGGGATGGCCACGCCCCAATCCCTTCTCCTCCATTTTCCTCTGGGGATCTTGGATGCGCACGTGCACACACACACACACACACACACACGCACACACGTGCCCAGCATGAGGTTAAGCCACCGGGTCCAGGACTTGAACCGCAGTTGACTACATGAGAGTCCAGCGACATAGCCATTATGTCAACTGCTGGTCCTGAGAGGCCAGCACTCTTAACCACCACCCCACCTGCTGGACCCAACTATGGTTGTTTTTAAGAAACTTAAAAAAGATTTTAACTGGACAGGAGTTGAGAGAGTAATTTTGAAGTCACTTAGTGAATGGGAATATTTCTAATTTGATAATAATGTTAAAGCTGAGGAAAATACACAAAGTGCTTGGGATATCTGTTCACACAAGAACAGTGTGTGACAATAATCTCTTATGTCCCTAAAATAAAGAGGTTTGAGAGATCCTTCACTTGACCACCTGTCAGATGATGTCCACTAGTTTTCATATCCCTTCTGTCAGGTTTTTAGCTTCCTCCCACTTTTCCAGTGTCCTCTGGTGCATCCATGGCAGTGCCAAACCCATTTTCCCCAGAAGGTTCCATTTTTTGGCTTTCTTTTGAAGTCTCCATCATCCCAATCACCATCTGTGCCCTGCTCTCATAAGTGTCACTCTCTTACTCTGAATGTTTTATTACTGCATTTATGAAAAGCTGTTCATGTACTATATTTTGTTAACTTTTTAAAATTTTAACTATTATCATTTTAATATTTCCAGAGAGAGAGAGAAAGGGAAAGTGAAAAAGCAAGCCTTAAGTCCGGACTGGAGCCATGGTCGGCCACGTGAGAGTCCAGCGCACTTAACCATCACGCCACCTGCTGTCCCTGTTCATGTATTATAACCGCCTGATGTTTCTACTACAAACACTTCTACAAGGGTAGGACTGGATGTAACTTGTTTAAAATTGGGACCTTGTGGACTGAAACAATCTCTGATTTTACCCTAGCATAATTTTTCTTCCCTTAAACCACAAAAGTGATTAAAATGAAAAATAATTTAAATACATCAAGTAATGGGTCTAACATCCTACAAATAACACTCGGGCAGGCAGGAAGCTCCTTGTATTTCTTTTAGCCTTCTAGCACCATGGACAAAATTCCAACTTCATCTTAAAGTGACAACATACTCTTTTGAAACAAAAGACACAATTCATGACCAAGTACAACACAGGAATGGGAAGAGCTCTTCAGCTATACAGCACAGAACCACCACAAGCTTTCAACAACAGGGCCAAACTTGTTCAAACTCCTGTGATTCCCCACCCACAGACCCTGCACCCACCACGATAATCCCAGGCCGGTTGGGAAGACCAGGGCCCACTACTCGGGCTCACCTCTGCCCCTATAAGGGAATCTGAATATTCTAGCCAGGGAAGCCCTGCTACAAATGCTGGAAAAGTTCTCTGTAGACACCGGAAATCAAAGAAGTTAAAGCAGAGTCCATTCTTTTGGCCCCATCCTCCTGAACAGCCCCACAGTCGCCCCCAGGCCTCAAAGGCACGACCCACCGTAAACGCTAAGTCTCCTACATCTGTGGACATTGGTGCTCCTAAAGGGGTGGGAACTTGCGCTGAGCCACCGCAGGGCTGAAGCTTGGACAGATCTCATCTACGCCCCACCCAGGCCCGGCACCTTCCGCGGAGGCCGCGCGCGTTCCCTACTCTCCCCCACCCAGGGCTCAGGAGCGCCCTCCACCCGTTTTCCCGCCCCTCCTCTGCGCGCCCCTCCCCGCCAATTCCCCAGCGCGCCCCCGGAACGCGGCATTGTGTCTTTGCGCCAAGTTCCCGGATGTTCCCCCGCCCAAGCCCGCGCTGTAACCCCGCCCCCGCGCGACTCTGCGTGCCACGTCACCGCTTGCGGCGCTTCCGGAGGCGCAGAGGGCGATGACGTAGAGGGACGTGCCCTCTATATGAGGTTGGGGAGCGGCTGAGTCGGCCTTTTCCGCCCGCTCCCCTCCGGGCTCCTACTCAGCAAGCGCTGCCGTCGTCTCCCTCCAGCAGCCACCATGATTATCTACCGGGACCTCATCAGCCGTGAGTCCTCGCTGCACTGCCCCTGCTGCGGCACACAGGGCGCGGGGGAGGGGGGGCCTGCCGCGGTCGTGGACTTAGGGGACGCCCGCAGCCGAATCTGGGGCGAGGAGGGGTCGGTGTCCGGGGCACGCGCCTGTGTTCCGAGCGCCCGGGGTGGGCCGGGGGTCGCGTGCGGCGCGCCCGCGTGGGGTATGGCGGGGCGGGGCCCGGGCCTCCAGGGTCGGGCTCACCGTGATGGCTGGTCTCTGTCTCCGAGCAGACGATGAGATGTTCTCCGACATTTACACAGGACCCGGGAGGTCGCGGACGGGCTGTGCCTGGAGGTGGAGGGGAAGGTGAGTCGTCCGGCCGCCGCGCGGGGGAGGCAAGGCCGGGCAGGCTCGGGTTTCCGCCGCTCCCCCGCCCGAGGTTGTGCAATCCTCCCCGCCGCCTCCTGGCGGAGGAGACTCTCTTTCCGGGCTCGGTTTTTTCTAGAAAAGTGGAGGCGGAGCTGAGCCTGGAAATAGGTTCGCCGCCCATCCTCCTTCCAGACCGTCTGAGACAGGTTTTCTCGGTTTTGGAAGACCCCTGCCCTTGGGCGTTTGTCCTGTCTAGTACAACAACCCAGGGCAACCTGAGAGCACACAATAGAAAAGAAAGCAACTTCCACTGAGTGGATAACGACCCCCCCTTTTTTTTTCTCGGTCAGTAAGTAGTTCTTGTTGAGTTAACGCTGTTTCAGGAACGCAGCTGGTCATAAATTTTACGGACAAGTATGCTTTCGTAGTTTTGAGTAAGAGCATGAATGTTTGTGAGAGGATGTTGGACGATAGCTAATATATAGGGTGTCTGTTGAATGATAGCTAATATATAGGGTGTCTTGGATGTGACTTGGGTTTTTTGCAACTATATTGTTGTTTCTTAATGCAGATGGTCAGTAGGACAGAGGGTAACATTGATGACTCGCTCATTGGTGGAAATGCCTCCGCTGAAGGCCCTGAGGGCGAAGGTACCGAAAGCACAGTAGTCACTGGTGTTGACATTGTCATGAACCATCACTTGCAGGAAACCAGCTTCACAAAAGAAGCCTACAAGAAGTACATCAAAGATTACATGAAATCGTAAGTGAGCTGACAGGGAGGGAACAGATGTTTAGAATCTTAAAGGATTTAGAGATTGGCTAGCTTTTGAAGTTCTTTAGCAGTAGACATAATTGTGAAAAGCGTTCTTTATGTGTTGACAAGCAGCAGTGGTTGCTTTTCTGTAAACTAATGTGAGTAACAGTATTAATAGTTAACATACAATCATTTTATTTTAGAATCGTAATTCTTAAAAGCCCCCATCTGTTAAGTAGTAATTTGATAATGGTGTCATGTTACGTTATTCATTAACAACTAGTCACCCTTTTCAGTGTTGTGGAATTTATTTTTTGTTGTAGTTTTGAATTTTTTTCTTAATTGGGAAAATTGTGTTCAACATCTAATCATTAATAAAATACTGTTTTTAGAATCAAAGGCAAACTTGAAGAACAGAGACCAGAAAGAGTAAAACCATTTATGACAGGGGCTGCAGAACAAATCAAGCATATTCTTGCTAATTTCAAAAACTACCAGGTAAGTACTGTAAATACTCTGATCAAAAGATTGTACAATTTTACTGCAAGGGCAAAATGAGTTACTTTATTATTCTTCATATAATTAAATTGTGGCCACCGATACCCTGTTTCTGATTGGAAAATCTCATTCCTACTTCCCAAATGACATTTCTCAGTTCTTTTAAATTGCTCCTTAATTTTCTAGGTATTTTGCCAATTTTCTCTTGATCTCAGTGTGTCTCATTGTCTCTGCTCTTTCTGCTACAGTTGAGCCTCTTAGTCTTGTTACTGGACAAACTTAAGTGACTTCCCCCTTAACTTCTAAGGTTTCAAACTCTCATGCATGCACACACACATCACACCTAGCTTTTTCACACATCTCTTTGCCACAGGGTACTTTCCCATATGCTTTCTATCTTAGTGTTGTCAGCCCTGTCAGCTGTTAATGTCAAAGCCTCGTGCTTGCTATATAAGCAGGCTTTTTGCGGGGTTTGTAATTGAATAGGGGGTTGAGAGTAAGTTCCAGAAAGCCTGAAATGTTCCTGAATTGCTGTGTTCTCTTATTTGGTCATTGCTGGTGCTTTAATCATCATGTGAACGAACATGTTTGTAATTAGTGAGCACTTAGGCCCTGTAGCTTTTTAGTTGCTGAAATTGTTGGGTTTTGTACTATTCTGAATCATCCTTTATTGTAGCTCATTTGGTGACACATTTATATATAATGGCCTAATTCTGGGTATTGCTTGCTTTCCAAGTTCTTTATTGGTGAAAACATGAATCCAGATGGCATGGTTGCTCTACTGGACTACCGTGAGGATGGTGTGACCCCATATATGATTTTCTTTAAGGATGGTTTAGAAATGGGAAAATGTGTAAGTATGAGTAAGAGGGTTGAAATAGTGTAAACATGGAAGTGTGTGTGTGTGTGTAAAGGTTTTTAATTTGACGAGAGACAGGGAAATTGAGAAAGCAAGGTGCCAGGTCCAGGACTCGAACTATAGTCGGCCATGTGGGAGTCCAGCGCCTACACTATCTGCTGGGCCCCACAGCAGTCTTTTTATAAAACACAGTCTAGATTTGTTTTTCATTGGCACTCCAAAAGACCATTGTATTTCACATGTGAAAAGCTTATAGTATTAAAAAGGTTTAGCATCTTAAGTAAAGTTTGTTTTTAGGGCATGTGTACTCACAGGGGTGGGGTGGGGGGGATGGAGGCAATCTCCCAGGGTGAATGGCCACACCACAATCTTTTCTTCATTCTCTCTGGATTTTGGGCTTGCACATACACATGCCCAGCATGATTTTCAAGCCACTGGGTCCAGGACTCCAGTAACATAGAACTGTGAAGTTGGCCATGTGGGATCCACCTGCCTTTGTAAGTTAACTTAGCAAATCTCTTTCTGTTGGAGAAAATGACTGGAAGCAGGACAAGGCATCCACTTCACGTTTTCAGAAGATCCCATGTAAATTAATAACTGGAAACTTAAACTATACTGGGTACAAATCAGATGTCACAGTGGGCAAAAATTACAACAGTGTAGAAGGGTACCTTGTCAAGATTGTGTTATTGTGGAAAGAATACAGGACGAGTGGGACTTGCCTCAGACATTTCCTAGAAAATGTGCTACTTCCGATTTCATAATGGTGTTCTGCATCCACTGATAGACCTTGAACAATTTGCTGTTGTTCTTACGGTTTGCACTAGGATGCAAGAGGAAAAATATCCCCGCGCTTTCTGTCTGTCTTTGTGGCGGTCCAGATTGAATTGGGGAATACATCTGTGACCTAGAAATGTGAACTGCTCTCCTTGGAGAAGTGTTGATATAATCTATCTTTTTTTTTTTTTACAGTAACAAATTTGGCAATTACTTTGGATCTATCACCTGTCATCATAACTGACTGCTGCTTGTCATCCACAAAACACCAGGACTAAAGACAAATGGGACTGATGTCATCTTGAGCTCTTCATTTATTTTGACTGTGATTTATTTGGAGTGGAGGCATTGTTTTTAAGGAAAAAAACATGTCATGTAGGTTGTCTAAAAATAAAATGCATTTAAACTCATTTGAGAGAATGCCTGTTAGTTTAATACATTTAAACTAAACCCATCATGTAGTGTTCCTGAAGAAGCTAGAGCCTGGTTATAAACCACAACTAAAAAGCATACGACTGTCTTCAAATAACTTCTGCAATGAAATCTACTGGGACTGGAATGTAAAATAAACAAGACTCAAAAGTTTTAATTCTGAGTTGCAGTAAAGGGAAAGACCATGTTTATAGCCGTGCCAACATTTGAAGAGCCTTTTCATCACCTGCAGTGGACGTAGTTAACTGTGGAAGAGATGACCAAAAGAATAAAGAGACTAAATCAGTTGGAAGTAAAGTATTGTCTGAACTTATTTAAGGTGAATCAAGTAGGGCCAACTCTCCTGGAATGGATGTCAAATTCCCTGGTAACTAGAACAGGAGTTGGCAAATACGCCACCTGTTTTGCATAACTCTTAGGTGGTGGTTGCATTTTTAAAATGGGAATATCACAAGGAAACTTTGGTGAAACTTAATTTGTGTCCAGTTTTATTGGAACACTGATAGATGCTCAATTTATGAGTTAACTGTCCCACTGCAAGAACAGTTGAGTGACAGTAGGGTGTGTAAGTCTTAAAATAGCCATGTGGTGCTTTAGGAAGTTTGTCAGACTCTAAAATGAAAGTAGATGAAATGTGGGCAAGCTCATAGACAGCATACTTGTATTACTGTTCATACTGTGTCTGGCAAGGGTATTCAAATGAGACTGAGAACGCATCTATTTGACAGACCTTGGGGCAGTTGCTGTCTGCTGCTAAGGTTTCTACTACAGATGCAAGAAAAAAGTGTCTTCGTGCTTTCTGTCTGTCTGAATTGTGGCAGCCAAGATTGAATAGAGGAATACAGAGGAATAAACATGGAGGGAATTTCTTCGAAATAATGTAAACTTTACTCCATAAAGAAAACCTAAACTTTGTAGTGTCCCAAACCTGAGGCAGATATTACTGTCCCCTACTAACAGGTAAAAGCAGAGCCAAATACCAAAAACAGTCAAACATTTTTAAGCATGCTAATTTCTGACATTAAAATGAAAGGGACCAAGGGAACCAGCAGTTAGCGTAATGGCTATGTCGCTGGACTCCCACATAGTCGATCGTGGTTCGCGTCCTGGACCCGGTGGCTTAAAACTCAAACGGGCACGTGTGCGTGCATGCCCAAGATCCCGAGAGGAGAATGGAGGAGAAGGGATTGTGGCGTATCCATCCCCCCTGGGGAGTGATTTCTCGCTTTCCGTCTCTATGTCTCTGTCTCTGGCGAGCGCACGCGCCCTATAGCAAAAATCTCTACAAAAAGCAAAAAATGAAAGGGACCAACAGGTGGCATGGTTAAGGCGCTAGGCTTGGCACCTAGCCAACCCCAATTTAAGGCCCCTACCTGGTGGCATAAAAACTCATTCTGGGGCCCATGTATATGCATGCACAAAATAAAGAGGAAGATGAAGGGATTGTGGTATAGCCAGCCCCTTCTGGGGGCCAAGCAAGCATGCATACCCTAAAGAAAATTAAAAGTCCCGTCTAATCTAGAAGGCCACTGTTGTCTCTGAAACGTACTAAGGGGAAGGGAATTTGCAGGTAGGGGTTGGTGCTGTGAAAGATCAGAATGCCCAGATGAGGGCCCTGTAACACTGAAGCAGAAATCTAGTGAGCTCAAAAGGGAAGGAACAGATGAGAATAGCAACACAGGCTTGTAGGGAAGGTAAACCTGTCCCGTGCCATGCCCCTCCCTCAAATTGTTTTAAAATTTTAAATCTGAAAAAACCCCTGTTGGCCTAGTTGTCTCCACAGTGTTTATAACCACGCCCTACCGCCAGATCCAATCAAGGCTCACAGGTTGCACTTCATTGTCTACAATCCAGAAGTGACCAGCCCAGCCATTTCCTTGGAGAGCCCAGCGGCTGTCTTTCACTGCCTTCTTGGATATTTTTTTCTGGTATTTCCTAATTAAGATACGGGCCCAGGGCTGGCAAGTGGCATGGTGGTTAAAGGCACTGGACTCCCACATGGCCGACCATGGTTCAAGTCTCGGACCTGGTGGCTTGCTTGCTCACTTCCTCTGTCTCTCTCGGATCAAAAAATTAAAAAAAAAGACATGGGCCCAAATAACAGGTGACATGTACCTTATATACATCAAAAGGCACATAGGATTCTGTCTTGATGTAAAGTTAGACATGGACATGTTTCTAATGGCTTACCCTGAGCTTTGTGGAATGAAAGACAATTGAGTAAAAAAGGGTAATTATAATTTCTGGCTAACATTCATGGTTCAAGTCTCGTATTGTCATTTTGTACAGTATTGTCATTTTGTAATTTGCCAGAGGGTCCAAGGGCTCACCAGAAGGCACTTCGTATTGGGGCACAGTAATGCCACAAGGTCGTCTCAATTTCTCTGTCCTGTGAGGATTTAGGGCACACAAACACCTGGGGCCAGATTAAAACCACAGTCAGCTCTGTGGGGTCCTGCTCCCTAAGCCACTAGACTACAGGGCTGGCCCATTATGTTTTGGTTTTTTTTTTAAGAGATTTTTGCTATAGGGCAAATGTGCTCACCAGAGGAGAGAAAGCAAAAACTCATCCCCCTCCCAGGGGAGTGGCCATGCCACAATCCATTCTCAGGATATTGGGCACACACGCACATGCTTGCACTCATACCCAGCATGAGTTTAAGCTGCTGGGCCCAGGACTCCAACCCAGTCGACTATGTGGGAGTCTAGTGACATAACCGTCTGCTGGTTCCCCAGTGGTCTCTAAAAGCACGCATGCATGTGGTAATCGAAGATAATACACATTTCGACATTGAACTCCAGTGTGTTGACATTGGATAATAGTTCTACTTAGAAAAGTGTACATTTTTTTTTTTTGAAGAGATTTTCACTATAGGGTGCGTGTGCTCGCCAGAGAGACAGAGACAAAGCGAGAAATCACCCCCCAGAGGGGATGGCCATGCCACAATCCCTTCTCTATTTTTTTTCGTGGGCATGCATGCACGCGCGCCCAGCGTGAGTTTTAGCCCCAACTGGGTCCGGGACGCAAACCGGTCGACTGTGGGAGTCCAGCGACATAGCCATTACACTAACTGCTGGTTCCCTAGAAAAGTGTACATTAAGGTGTTGGATATTTTTTACTTTGATGTTGTACCCTACCTCGCAGCCTTTCTCCCTATTCACATCCATTCTTGTGTACATTAAAAAAACTCAAACAGCTCCACCTCTTCAGGATTTATGGTATTGTTCAGGAAGGCTTTTGTAGTGTGGCATTTGGATACAAACTTCAAGGTGTGGAAGTAGGCCATGTGGACTGGTGCCAAACCAGTGTAGGCCAAGAGAACAATCAAGTTCGTGTCACATGGTCGGAACAGGTGGCCACGTTGCTGATCCAATAGGGCAAAATTGTATTAAAGTATGAGAGCACATCGTGCAGGAAAAACGGGAGAGGATCAGTTTGGCTGCTGGGTAGCAATTAGAAAGTGATTGGAGAGGGACCAGCAGTTAGCGTAATGGCTATGTTGCTGGACTCCCATGTAGTTGACTGCAGTTCGAGTCCTGGACCCAGTAGCTTAAAACTCACACAGGGCGCATGTGCGTGTGTGCTCAAGATCCTGAGAGGAGAATGGAGGAGAAGGGATTGTGGCGTGGCCATCCCCCCTGAGGGGATGATTTCTCGCTTTTTGTCTATCTGTCTGGCCAGCACATGTGCCCTATAGCAAAAAAAAAAAAAAAAAAAACAACTCCCCAAAAGAAAGCGATTGGAGACCAGTCCCATTGTGCAGTGGATAAGGGGGGTGGGTCCCACATTCTCTACTGTGGTTTGAATCCTGACTCTAATGGCTTGAAAAATGCACCTAAAGCCCCAACAGGGTGGAGAAATGGAGATTGTGGTATGACCATATCCCATCAAAAGGTGCTTTCTCCCTTGAGCACATGCACCCTCTGGCAATTAGTGGATTTGGTACTTTTTTAATTAAAAGAGGATGTGTGCATGAACACAAGGGAGCACATACCTAAGTGGGGCCTAGCACAGCACAAACCTTCCCCATATCCATTCCATCAGGATCTTGGTTATGCGCATTACTCCCTGTGTGACGTGTCTGGACCAGGTTTCAAACTTTGGCAAGCTATGTGGGATCTAGCATTCTCTGCAAAGAACTCAGCCACTGGATTGTGGGACCAGCTTGATAATGCAATGTTTGTAGGCAAGAGATGATAATGGTTTATTTAGTCTAGGGTGAGAGTAGTGGAGGTGGCTGGAAATGAAGGTAGAGACGAGAATATGGTGATTGGTTAGGTGAAAAATGATAGGACGGATTTAAGGCAATGCCAAATAGTTTGGCTTGAGCATCTGAAAAGGAATTAACATTGAAATGGGAAGACTATGGAGGATGGAAAACCTATGGTTTATGGTGAGCTAAATTTGAGATACTTATTCTTTAAATAAATTGGGTAGGCAGTTGGGTTTTGAGTCCGGAGGACAGTGCACAAATCTAAGTAGAAGATAAGAGTGGGGAGATTTCAATACATAATATTTGAAGCCTTAATACTGGATGAGATCATTTAGGGTAGGGTGGGTCCTTTTCCAGAGATTGGCTGGCACAATAAGGAACCAACAAAGGTGATTAAGAAGAAGCTGCCCCTGAGGTGAGAGAACCAAATGATGACCTCCCAGAGGTCAGGTGAAGAAAGTGATTTATGCAGAAGGGAACAGTCAACAGGGTTACTTATCACAAACTGGTCATGCAAGATGACAGGGAGTGGTGAACTTGACAACTGTTGAATTTCAAAGAAAGCCTAATTAAGATGGGTTAGAACATGCATAGGCAGCCGTGAAATACAACACAGAGACATTTAAAATTGCACTCGCATCTTCTTGAGCAGTAAGTGTATGCATGACTCATAGTTGAGTCATTAGGAATTTCTCCTAAAATCTGGTTAAATCACCAGATTTGTGTTAATGTAAACTCTTACCATCCTGAGCTGCTGCTGTGTT